CACCCGCCTGCCTCCCGGGGACGAACCCTACTTGGTCCCTGTGGACCAGGCTACACAAATATTTATTGATGCGAAAACAGGATCTTGCCCAATATTTTCAAGTCCTCATTAAGAAGAGAGATGGGCCGGAAGGCTTGCGGTTCCTGGACATCATCGGTCGTCTTAGGAATCATAGAGATATGTGCCCTAAGTGCGTCCGGAGAGGGCAAGGAGCCCTGTCGTAACTCATTAAAGTAGGCAGCTAAAAAGGGTGCCAATAGGGCTGAGAATTTTTTATAATAGAGACCGGAGAAGCCGTCTGGACCTGGGGCCGCGGAGGACCGTAAAGATTTGATTGCTTGTAGCACTTCCGGTACGGTGACACCTGCGTTGAGGGCCGCCTGTGCTGCCTCGGTTAATCCAGGAAGATGGAGGTCCTGAAAGAATGCCTCTGCCTGGGCCACAGGGAAGGGATCTGGGGCAGCATAGAGGCGCGAAAGGAAGTCCGAGAATCAGGAAACAATCTGCTGGGGATTAGAAGTACAGCCACCCATAGGCAATATTTTAAAAGCCTTCACAAGCTACCATTTTAGATTTGCAGAGGAGGTCTAGTGTTGGAATTACTGCCCTTGCTCTGACGTTCGTGGCGATACCTCACATGCATGGTGCAATCGTTATTTCCATACTGGCACAGGGTCAACGATCACGAACGCAGATGCGCGGAGGGGGGGGGGGTGAGGGTACTTTTTTTTTTTTAAGTTATTTTGATTTTTTTTTCATTATTTTTACACTGTCCCCTTAATTTTTTTTAGCACTTTTAATGCCATCACAGGGAATGAAAATATCCCCTATATGCATTGTCATATATTCTTTTTTGAGAAATCTGGGTTCTGTCAGACTCTAGATATCTCTTCTGCCCTTACATTATCTAATTAAACCAAGAGCAGTGTGATCAGATGCTTCTTTTTTACAAATGCCGCTGTTTATATCCTGTGAAACTGAAGTGATGAAATGCTCATAGCTTCCGATTTCTTAGGCTATAGAGATGATTGGCACCATTCTGGACTCCAATCAGCTCTATGGTTATCTGGCAGAAACACCGGCTGTATTCTTAGGTTGCCCCAATGACAGGGGACTGCCCAAGAAGACCGTGGAAGGCAGTGGGGGAGTGGGGCATCATCTCCCACTGCTTGTAAAAGCAATCCTGCAGCTAATTAGCCACTAGGATTGCTTTTACACGAAAGCCGATCGCCGGTTGAAAAAGACAATACCAGGATGATGCCTGCAGCTGTAGGAATCATCCTGGCATAACCATTCAAAGTCCAATGATGTACCAGTACCTCAGTTTACGAATTTAATTCATTCTGCAGGACATTTCGTATAGCAAAAAATTTGTAAAACGAAACACTGTTTCCCATAGGAATGCATTGAAAACCAATTAATCCATTCTGAAGGTCAGAAAAACAGTAAACGCTACTAAAATACAGCATGAGTTATTTTATTAACAGTTACAACATATGTTAATGTTTCAGTTGTCAACGGGGTTCCCCACTGACAGCTGAATGTAAAAGAATTTCTGGCAATTAAAATGTTTTTTTTTCAATTGCCGGAAATCCTTTTATACTCAGCTGTCAGGTGCCAGTTTCTAAATGTAATTACCGTTTTTTTTTTTGTTTTTTTTTCTTTATTATACAGTAGTTTAGAAATTCAGCTGTCACTTTTCCCCCTCCAGCTAAAATATATAAAGTTTATGTTAGTTTATTTCCCCAAGTTAAAAGAAGCAATGTTTTCTTTCAGTTTCTTAAAAGATACAAGGTATCCTTTATCTCCGGTAAAAGTGATAGCTAATGTTGTGAGCTATAGTAAAAAAAGAAAAAAAAGACGGCAATTGCATTTAAAAATCAACACTGACATACACTTCGTATTGTGAAAAAAATTTGTAAATCGAGGCATTATTTTCAATTGATTTTCATTCGTAAACCGAAAATTACGGTAACAGAGGCATTCATAAACCGAGGTATTACTGTATATGCTATGTTCTTTTTTTTGTATGCAGCTTGTGGACTGAATGAAAAAAGAGAAGAAATCTCTGCCAGAAAAAGTGAGTGGTATGCCCACCATTAGATTATACCGCCCTGCATCCACCCACTTCTAATGGTGGGCACACATTAGGTCACACTTTGCCACAAGTGCCAGTTCCAAGATTGTACAAATGTCTAAATAGTGGCACGCTTGAATAAAAATTGTCCACGTATAAGTGGTACCCCATATGGAAAAAGGATGACACCAAGTCCCAAACTATCTTGCCACTGCTCCCCATGTAGTCTGGGCATCCGGGGGGCTCCATGTGACTATCTTTTCCCTCGTAAATCTGAAACTTATAAGTATAGCCTGTTGTCCTCTCACAGGTCTTCTATATCTTGACCCCATATCTGGCACGCTTGCTGGGGGAGAAATTGTTTGAATGCAAGGCAGCCAGAAAAATTAATGAGGGACTCGTCAACGCAGATTTTTTGCTGGGGAGTATAGACATCTGCATATTTTTGGTTAAGGTGATTCGTGAAGGGCTGAATTTTGTGGAGCCGGTCAAATTCAGGGTCACCCTGAGGATGACAGAGTGTATTGTTGTTGAAATGCATAAAACACATTATACTCTCATATCTATGCCTGGCCATGGCAGCAGAGAACATTAATCAGGTCTGTGGACCAATGCAACCGCAATTCATTTTTTTTTTTAGTAATGCCCATGTGGAGAGTTAGGTCCAAAAGAAATTTAAATTCGGAAACTGTAATGAGTTTCCATGCGAATGGTCTGGCTAGGTTTGAATTTGGGTTGGCGGCGATAAATTGTTGTGCATATAAAATGCTTTGATCCACAATCAATGCATACAGATCTTCCATAAAAAACAGCTCCAAAAAATCAAGGGGAGTATTTAAATTTACTATTTCCACTTGAATTCCAGGTTGGGCAGTGAATGGGGGAAGTACAGGTGCTGCAGAATTTGTGGGATGCCAGTCGGGATTTGCAAGCACATCTGAAAGGATACTAGGGGTTCTTCCAGCCTGTGTGTGAATTCTTTGTGGTTGCGGGATGGATGTAGGGGGTGAAGGGGGCGGTAATGTATTTCGGAGCATTCTCAGTAGCCTTGAGGTCTGAAGAAGGAGCCTACTGATCATGCTCCAAAATGCATTACCGCCCCCTTTACCTCCTACATACGACTCTGCTCTCCAAGCCTCATTTTTGATGTACAGGCACATCCTGGGCTCTACTTCCTGATCTTATAGACATAGTTTGCTGCTAGACGGCTTGACACCCAAGCCCTAGAGTCTATGGAATGTAGGAAGGCTCATGTTCGGAAACAAGGAAAAAGAGGGTGGGGTGGAAACTTGGTTGGGAGAGATGGGGGGGGGGAAATTGGGGGGGAGATGGATTTAGAAAAGAGGGGGAGGGTGTTCCAGCCACCCCCATGGCTGGAGCTACTCATGAGAAACCCCAACCACAAGCGTTTGAGCAGAGGAGAGGACTGGTCTATATGGTGCAGAGCATAACACTGCTACTCAGGTGGCAGCTAAGACCTGGAGCCCACTCAGAACCTCATAGGGAGCAACGCTGAGACCACAGCATGCAGTCAGCCGGCATAGATTTGGTACAGGAGTACTCTGTCCAATAAAACCACATTTTACGGGTTTTTTTCCTCTGTACCCCGCACAGCACTTGTCAAGTTCTCCATCAGCTTTATGTCTTCGATCTTATGGAACAAGAGTGCTAGAGAGGTCACTGTGGAGGATTTCCATAATGTGGGGATGCAGGAGAAAGCCACATCAACCAGGTGTCACACAACTGACCGTTTGTACACTTAGGATATTGGAGTGGTGTAGGAGAATAACATCCAGGGGTGAAGGGGACAGAGCGAACGGTAAACTTCTGTGCTATAGAGTGGACTTGTGTCCAAAATGATGGAAGCATTGGGCAGGACCAGAAGATGTGTAACATGTCACCTATGTCTATACCACAGAGCCGTATTTATTATTTCATTTAATTTTCTTATTTATTGCATTTGAGCAGAAAATCCACCTAAAAGCTTGACAAAATGTTCAAAAACAAGCATAGACGCAGGAAAAATGCTTCAAAATGCACCAGTCTGCCCCAATCAAGCTACAAAAGTAGTTTCAGGACTTTCCTCAGCTTTAGGCATTTGGCTTTAGGTGACTTGGAGCCAAGATGTGAACCAACTCCATACAGATGCATTGAATTTCTCTCCTCCAGCATTTTGGAACTTTGAGCTACAGGTGTGAACCGGGCCTTAGTCTAGGTTCACACTTGTGTGGTGCAGGACACCCCATGTGATTTGTATAGGAATCGCACCGCATTCCTCTGTATATCACATGCAATGTCTATGCGGGCCCTTTTTTCCAGCATCTGATTCATATCTCATGGGTGTTCACGTCCATGTGATTCAATTTCTGGCAATCACACTGCATTTTGCAATCTGTTTCGGGGTGTCAATAACTTTACATTGACACCCACACCAGATCGCATGGATGACGCATAATTGGAATGCGGTGCGGGAAACGTTCAGGATTCACTGGGTTTCACGCACCACATTAGTGTGAACCAGGTCTTAAAGAGAAGCAGAAAGCTGCCATTGAAGACCTCAAATATTCAAATAATAGTCGCCTGGTTGTCATGCAGCTTTCTGACTCCAACACTTTTTTTAGAACAAGTACCGTATTTTTCGCTCCATAAGACGCACCTGACCATAAGACGCACCTAGGTTTTAGAGGAGAAAAACAAGAAAAAAATATTCTGAACCAATGGACTGCAGACATAGTACAGGAAGTGACCAGAGACTGCGGACACAGTACAGGAGATGACCAGAGACTGCAGACAGTACAAGAGATGACCAAAGACTGTGGACACATTACAGGAGATGGACCAGAGATTGCGGACACAGTACAGGAGATGACCAGAGACTGCGGACACAGTACAGGAGATGACCAGAGACTGCGGACACACTACAGGAGATGGACCAGAGACTGTGGACATACAACAGGAGATGACCAGAGACTGCGGACACAGTACAGGAGATGACCAGAGACTGTGGACACAGTACAGGAGATGACCAGAGACTGCGGACACAGTACAGGAGATGGACCAGAGACTGCGGACACAGTACAGGGCATGACCAGAGACTGAGGACAGTACAGGGCATGACCAGAGACTGCGGACAGTACAGGGGATGACCAGAGACTGCGGACAGTACAGGGGATGACCAGAGACTGCGGACAGTACAGGAGATGACCAGAGACTGCGGACAGTACAGGGGATGACCAGAGACTGCGGACAGTACAGGGGATGACCAGAGACTGCGGACAGTACAGGGGATGACCAGAGACTGCGGACAGTACAGGGGATGACCAGAGACTGCGGACACTACAGGGGATGACCAGAGACTGCGGACACTACAGGGGATGACCAGAGACTGCGGACAGTACAGGAGATGACCAGAGACTGCGGACAGTACAGGGGATGACCACAGACTGCGAACAGTACAAGAGTTGACCAGAGACTGCGGACAGTACAGGGCAAGACCAGACACTGCAGACCTTTAGGGATGGAGGGGGAGCGGGTACCTGAATTTGACAGGTACCCGCTCCCACTTCCGTGGAGTTCTCCTTCCTATACTGTGGGCACCTGGCTTTGACAGGCGGGTATCCACTGTGCATTTGCGAGAAGCGCTGCGCTTTGTGAATGGCCCGGCGTCTTCTGGGACCTGTCATGTGTCCCAGAAGACGCCGGACCATTCACAAAGCGCAATGCTTCTCGCGCAGGTGCAGTAGGCACCCGGTTGTCACAGATGCCGGCGCGGGAAGAAGCCGACACGGGAAGTCTACAGTGCTGGACCGAGGAACAGGTGAGTTCCTGCAGCAGAGAACAGCTGAGCGGGCGGACCAGTATTCTGACATGGTGGCGGCGGAAATACCGGACCGGCCGCTTTACATTCACTCCATAAGATGCACTAACATTTCCCCCCTTTTTTGGGGGGGAAAAAAGTGCGTCTTATGGAGCGAAAAATACGATATTTTTTGACTGAATGTTCTCACCAAAAAATTCTAAAAGAAGGTCACCAGTAACACCGTCCATATATCGCTCAGGACGGGTTTCTTTTAACTTTTGAAATGATTTTCTCTGAGGCCGGGTTCACACTGATGTGATTCACCACATTGTATGATCTTCACACAGGAATCGCACCACATTCCTGTGCAAATCACATGCCATTCTGTGCGGGGCAATTTGAGCCCATCATTTTGTATGGCTCATATCACACCACATCCACATGGAGAAGGTGCAGGCACTGGATCGGAAGGGTGTTCATAGCCATGTGATCTGATTCAAGCAAATGCAATATGTTCTGCAACCTGCTTTTGGGGTGTTGTTAACTTTTAGTTGACACCTGCAGCAGATGGCATGAACACAGTGGGATTGCTATGTGGTGGGAAATGCAGCGATTCCTGTGCGTTTGTGTGGTGAACTCAGCCTTAACCACAAAATACAACAAACAGAAACATGCCAATAGCATTTCACACTGCAGTATATAACCCAGTTCACAAATGTCGGAATATTTCCTTTTAATTTATAAACATTTGCTTTATCCACAAACTTCCTGAAGATAAAATTGCAACAACAGCTCAGCCCCGCCCTGTGCTGAGAAATGTGAGACGACCTTTAGATTTTCCGTGTCGGAGACTTTCACTTCTCTCTTCTGCTGTCAGCGATGGCGTCTGCTGATCTGAGAGAGGAGCTGGACTGTTCCATCTGTCTAAACATTTATACCGATCCTGTAAACCTGAGATGTGGACACAACTTCTGCCGGGTCTGTATTGATCGATCGTTGGATACACAGGAGGGGTCTGGAGGTTATTCCTGTCCTCAGTGCAGAGAAGAGTTCCAGATCGGCCTGCATTGCAGAGGAACATCACACTACGTAACATAGTGGAGACCTTCCGGTCTACTCAGTCAGATGAGAAGAAGACTGGAATCTTCTGTACTTACTGCATTCACTCTCCTGTACCCGCTGTTAGATCCTGTCTGATGTGTGAAGCTTCTCTGTGTGATAATCACCTGAGAATCCACAGCAAGTCACCAG